GCCCACTCAGACCAGCCAAAGGGCACCGCCAGCAAAGGGCCCCCAGGAGCCACGGGAGGCAGCTGAGGTGGGTGAGCAGGGTCGTGTGGCGGGGGAGGCTTTGGATCCCAGGGGAAGATTGTTTGGTCTTTGCTGGGCAATGGGGAGCCACGGGAGGTTGCAGAGGAGGAGGGTACATCATGGGACCCGTCTTCGGGAGGATCCCCACACGGGGGCTGTGCGGTCGCCCTGATGTTTGGTACCATTCCCCTTAGGCCGAGAACTATGGACAATAGGGTGTGTCTCAGCCACCTCCACGCCCCAAGCCAGGGAGGGCAGAAAGGGGCGGGGCTCTCCAGGGCTCTGTCAGGGAGGCTCTGCCCTGAATGATGATGAGAACAGAGAGCGCAAGACCAAGTGAAAGGGCTCTCCAGAGGCGCTTGGAGATTGGGCCCCCAGCTGCAGGATGCAGAAGGTGGCTCCTCCCTCTGCCACCTAAGCCAGACCTGGACTCTGAAAGGTGATGCAGATTCTTCATCTTTACTGTCCTCATCCAAAAAGGGCGACAAATGTTGCAAATGAGGTATTTGCAACAAATGCACAGAATAAGACGGAGCCCAGAAGGAAACCCACAGGATGGGGGTGGGGATTGCCAAAGCTAAGTGGGAGGCGCAGGGTTTGGCCACAGGAAAAGGCAGGCCCTCCCCTTAGAACCACTATCCGGGCGCAGCGGCAGCTACTTGGAATCCCAGTGGCTCAGAAGGCCCAGGCAGGAGGATTGCAAGTTAGAGGCCAGCCTGGGCAAATTAGTTAGAACCTATCTCAAAATAGAAAAAGTTCAAATAGGGCTGAGGGTGTAGCTTAGTGGTAGTGGGCCTCTGGCTTTCCTCTCCAGAACCAACAGCAAAACAAAAACAAAAAAAAAAAAAAAATGTTAGGCCAAGTACATTAGCTCATGCCTATAATCCCAGCTACTTGGGAGACTGAGGCAGGAGGATCACAAGTTCAAAGCCAGGCTCAGCAAAAGCGAGGTGCTAAGCAACTCAGTGAGACCCTGATTCTAAATAGAATACAGTATAGGGCTGGGGGTGTGGCTCAGTGGTAAATTAGAATTATGATATTTCCAAATGACATGACCCCAGAGGTGTTTAAGTCAACTACGTCACGTACAGAAAGGAAAACTGAGGCCCAGAGAGGGATAGGGACTTTGCAGAGGCCACACAGCAGTCTAACATCATCATAGAAATTACAATTCCAGTCACTGAATCTTGGTTTCATGTTCTTTGCTCTTGTCCCTTGGGTAGCCCACCCTCAGACCAGGGCACCAGGATGCCAGGTCAGGCACTGGCACCAACACTTCTGCTTAGTTCTCTGTGGACCAAGGCCCTGCTGTGCCCCAGTGGTGGTGGACAGAGCCCAGCTCTGGAGAGATCAGGTCATCGCTTCTGTCACTGGACAGAGCCCCCCCCCCATCCTGCTGAAGGCCGACCTGGCCAACCCCGACCCTCCTCACAGAGGCTGGAAAGAGGCAAGGGCCAGCAGAGTGGGGTCCACCCAGCTGCACAGCTAGGACCACAGGAAAAGAGGACAGGTTCCAGTCCCTACCACCAACATGTGCCCAAAGAGCAGCAGCCACGTCTACCGTGGGACTCGTCAGAAACAGACCCTCAGCCCTGCGCCGGACCCTGGCCAGAGTCTGCATTGTGTCCCAATGTCACGCAGGCCAGAGTGTGACA